CGCGACGGTCTCTCTCCCACTGTTTATATGTATTTTATATTGACTGGTTTCCCAAACGCGACCGTCGCGCTGCGACCAACTTTTTTCGGCGCGACCAGCGACAGCACCGGYCTGAAAGCAGTGTATCGCGACCGTCGCCTGCGACAATATGGCAAAATTAACTTTTTCTGCCGAAGAAGAAGAAAAATTAATTGAAGTGATTCAAAAAAATTCTGTTATTTACGATCTTGCGCATCCAAAATATAAAAACACAATTTACAAGGATGAAATTTSGATTGATATCGCCAACACAATAGGAAAATCTGGTAAGTATAAAATAAAATATTGTTGAAATAATTAAATAATTTAGCACATTAGACAAACAATTTTAGATATATGTTCTTGTAGCAAATTTGTTGGGGAGTAACTCTACCATTGATTAAATATACATATATTACGTATATTTAATCAATGACTAAACTACAAACATTATGATTATTCATTATAATTTCCAATATATTTAAAAAAAACGTGTGGACAATATTGTATTATTTTATAATCATATATTACACAATTCTTTGATTGRTTTATTTTTGATATTGTCAGATAAAAATAATAATAATATCTATTAATACACATTAAATTTGACGTATTATTATACATTGTATTGGGAATAACACAAAAATATTTGCACAGACCTAATAATATATTATATAATATTATTATTATATTATTAGGTCTATGAATATTTAACAAAAGCTATACAACTAAGTKTCACAAAAGTACAGATACTGAGTGTTTTAAATTCTATTTTATAAATACACGATACATGTATTATTTTTCAGTCGAAGATTGTAAAAAAAAGTGGAAATACATACGGGATACCCACAATCGCTGTAAAAGAAAATTATGTACTGGATCTGCAAGCTCAGCAAAAAAACATTGGCCTTTGGCAGACCGTGTGTCATTTTTAAACTCTGTCGAAAATGAACGAAGGTACCTATATAAAAATAAATTATTTGTTTGAAAATTAAATATTTATAAATAATTTGTTTATAGTTCTGAGAGCAACATGGGATCACATAGTGAAGAAGGAACTATTGACACTTTGAATATTGGCAGAGATTCGGTCATTTCACCAGTCCAAGATGAAGAATTGTCTGGGCCTTCATTTACAGAGGAACAAGTGGACCACCCTCTCCAAGATCGAAATTCTCCAGAACGTCTTTTTAAAAAAAAGCAAGCTCGTTTTAAAACAAGCAAACTACCAATGTTGTTATCAAAAAAGGCAGAAGAAAGAAATAAGACCATTAAAAAAATTGAAGAGCAGAACCAGCTTCTTTTAGATGCTRAAAATAAAAGAAATGAAGATGACGAAATTGATTTGTTTTTTAAAAGTGTAGCTTTAAGTGTTAAAAAATTACCCAGAATAGCTATAAAAGAAGCTAAATTCAGAGCATTAAATATGGTAAATGAACTTGAAGACAAATATGGTGATCATTCACATCAAACAATACCAGCTTTCTACCCAATTCAACCAAATTATAACCTTGAGTTTTCTAATTCTGGTACGCCGTCACCTGCAATATCATACTCGATGACAGATACTCAAAGTACACCGTCGCCAGTATCATACAATATAATGCCACATACTCAAGTCACGCCCTCCGCTTCACCTGACTTATTTCAAACATCAATTGCAAATACTTCTTCATTGTCATTAGCACCTTTCGACAACTAGATATAAGGTAAAAATAAGATACAAATAGTTTTAATTTAAACTATGTATTTAAAAAGCACATAAGCATAATACTTTTTTTTATTTAATGAATTTAGTTCTTACAAAAAATATGTCGAGTAGACTATAACAATTTTAAAAAATACATGTTAAAGTAATTAATACATTTTTCATGTAATATTTATTTGATACCTAGTAAAATACAAAGGACAATTTTTTTATCAAACAGTATTTAAATATTATTTTTCACTAAAAATATGTAAACATCTACCAGTTTAATGCACCTTCGTTGTTGAAAAAATGTTTAAATTGATCTCTCACCTTGAATCCTTCCATGTTAAAAAATCCACCTCCTGCACTGATTTCCAACATATTGTTGGTTGGTGCAGTTTGTTCACAGTCGTATTCATAAAATGGTTTATTATTTTTTTCCAAGTATCCGTCTCTCAGCATATTATGTAAACAACATGACACCCATATTAAATTAACACATGTTGTAGTTTGAACATTTATAGGCTGATAAAAAACTCGAAACACTTGACTTAACAACCCAAACGCATTTTCGGTGACACGCCTTGCTCGGCTTAGTCTATAATTAAATGTTTTTTTTGATACATCTTCTCTACTTGATTTTTTAGAATATGGTTTCATTATATGAGTGTGTAAACGAAACGCTTCGTCACCTACAATTACGTGTGGAACTACAATATTAGAACCGGGGAGAAAGCTTTCTTCTGGAAATCCAAATGATCCGTTTAAAATTCGCTGCCCTATGTCAGATTTAAGGAAAATACTACYGTCTCCTTYCTTTCCGTAGGAACCGATATCAACAATCACAAATTTATAATTGGCATCAACCATCGCCAAAAGTACAATAGAAAAAAAATCTTTGTAATTGTAGTATAAAGATCCCGAATTCTGTRGACACCGTATACGTATATGTTTACCATCAATACCAAGTATACAGTTAGGAAAGTTCCATTTATAACAAAATTCTTCAGCCTTTTTTTTAAAATCAATTTGGCGTGGGTCTGGCAAAAAAATTGGAACTAGTTTATGTTTTAAAACTGTTAAAGTTTGCTTTACTATTATGCTAATATAGTCGTGACATATTCGAAAACCAAATGACAGCGATCGAAATGATTCTCCAGTAGCCATATACCTATAAAAAGTGAATGATATTGATACATATATTTATTTTAAATTATTTTATTACGGTATTTAGTAAAACCATTACAATTTACAACAAACAATGAGCACGTCTTTATCAAATATTTATATACGGTAAAATTGTATAACCACAAAAACTTAATGTCTAATATATAACATTATGTATAACTTTATAAGTTAGGTAACTAATGATGATTGATACAAATACGTATGACAAGTTTATATTATACTAGTAGCTCACCTTAAAGTAACTGCCAATTTTTCTGAAGCTGTAATTGGTTCTTTCACTCGATTGTATGGTTCTTTCGATAATTCTACCTCAACAAGTGATAACAAGTAATCGAATTGTATTTTGTTAACACGGAAAAACTCGCGAAATTTCGTTTSGTCATTCGACAAATGTCTATTTATTAAAATTTCAAAGAATCCCTCTGTTTTTCTATTGATAAATAAGTCATTCACTTTTTGTCTCTTTTTATAACGTGTAATTAATAATTCATCATCTTCTTCTTCTTCTTCAAGTAAGAGTAATATAATTTTATTATTATTAGTTATTATATTAGTGATACTCATATTGCAACTAAAAAATAATAAAACACAAAATACGTCTTCACGGCGAGAACACTGAGACGATACAAAATATAATGTAGACTAATTGTTGGTCTCGGCGACCAGTCGCGCCTGGGAAACCAGCACGCACCAACGACAGGTCGTAGCGACCGATCGCGGCGACCTGTCGCCGAGACCGGTCGCGTCTAGGAAACCGTACCTTAATCGTACAGGTTCGTCAATGTCTTCGAGTATCGTCGGCTAGCAAGGAGGGGGAAATTTGGCCTCAGCACTGCCGCAGCTGTCAGTCGTATGCGCAAAAGTGACCGTTCTCTTTTGGAACAGAGTATAGACATGTAGTACTATTCGTTTTAATTGGTTGATTGGTGGTAGTTGACTAGCAATATTTATATCAGTCTAAATAGTTTAAAAAAATAATATTTGCATTTTTATCAATATTTTTTTTACATTATTTTAGGTATTTAAAATTCAATACATAGTTTGTATACATACTTTAGCTGTAACTACTCCAATAACAGCATGTGTAGTTAGTTGTGACGTTTTAGCGACTTCTTTTACTTCATTGATAAATTCTTTACATTCCTTTAAGTTTTGTGATATCTGGTACATGGGTATTATGATCAATGTATTTAATGACACTTTCACCTTTGGTGTGAACACGACCACGACAACTTAATTTCTTGTAGTCATTAAATTGCCATATAATTTTTTCATTAATAGTCTTTTCTTTTCGATGAATAAACTGATTGTGTACTAATAAATTTTCACCTTTTTGGCTTAACACATACATCAACACCATGGCGTATAATATTAATTAAATAATTAATAAAATTAAATAAAATAAATTTAATAATTTATAATACATTTATCAGTTTATCGCACATGTGTAAATTTCAAACGGCACAAGCGAACTGATTAACCAACGCTATTTATGTATCGCGATTAAATTGTTCCTGACCAAATGACCTCGCTCTTATAATGCGCGCTCCTTTTACCGCGACACCCATAATAATAAACAAAACAATAATACTTATCATTAAATAATATATAATAACATCATACTTTAATTATTCCTTATTTTTTCAAAATTAGATAGTAATAATGATTTTTTTTTCGATTTCCTTTTGAATAGCATCAGCCTGTTTTTTTTATTTCTTCTTCTTTTCTTACTTAGTTCACACCTTCTAACATTGCATGTGCTAATTCAACTTCCTCAAGATTTTTGTTCTCTAACGTTATTTTTAACCGTTTATTTGCTTCATAAAATAACTTATTTGCAGCTTCTCGCTTTAAAGATTTCTCTTCTCTTTTTTTTCAAATTGTTTTTATTGATTTCAATTAATTTTTGTTCATTTGATAATTCTTTTTGGATTTTAGCTACTGCTATTTTTTCAATTTTTTTTCTGCTTTAAATTTTTCATTCTGCATTTTAATCTCTTCTAGTTCATTTAAATAATCTTGATAATGTCTGTATGCTCCCCTTTCCATTGTAATCAATTCTTTGGTAATTAAAACCAAATGTGGTTTATTGTTTTAATGCATTAATGTATCTTTTACTGTCAATAAAGAATTTAAAGTTCTTTCAGAGATTGTGGCTCGATCTTCAGTAAGTATTCGACCAGAAAAAGAAAAACTTCTCTCTACGTCAGCAGTCCCATGTATTAACGAGAGAGCAGCTTTAATCACTTTCACAACATTTGGATATTTTTCTTCTTTAGCAATGGATTTTTTATCAAAATATTGTTGCCAGTATAAATCAATTCGGTAGTCAGCAGATCCTTTAGTATCTTTTTCAAGTTGTAGTAATCTCCATTCGTCAAGTAATAAATCTGTATCTATATTTATGGGCAATTGTCTAGCAAGTTTTATTATATCATTACAACTTTGGTCTGAGCACCTTTCAGAAGGATGTATGCAACGTAAATTTTCAAAATAGGTTTAGTTAATGACGATGCATTAAGTATGTGTTTAGAAGCTGCAATATAGTGTCCTTGAATATTTTTTTTTTTTAAAGTAAAATATCTTTTTCACTATTTTTTTTTTCTTTTAATTAATTTTGTATTTCATCATTAACATCTATATTTTTAACAGGCAGAAGTTTTTCTTTTGTAAAAATATCATCAATATTAATATCAGAAAATGATTTTGGTATTTCATTTAATTTACAAATTTTTCCCAATAATGTTTTAATAAAATCACACAATTCACTATACATGATATGAACTAAAGGTTCTTCTTTTTGCATATGACCTGTAAACTTGGTAAACACTTTTGCACTAGAGCAAACAAATAAAACCTCACATTTTATTGTAGGTATAATTAATAAACTTCTAATTTTTTGGTAACTCCTGGTACTTAAAATAGCTTGTTTTTCTTTTGGTATAAACGTTAAAAAATATTTTTCAATTCCTTTCCAGTATTGTAATAGTCTTTCAGCTGCATTTTGTAATGTTAACCATCTAGAAGTGACATGTTTGATAATTGTAGGTAGTTCAAGATCGTAGGTTAGGTTTAAGATGCTTACAAATTCCTCCCAATGGGATGGAAATCAATCAAAATAATGATAAATTAACAAAATCAAATCTGATGCATCTTCTCCAAATTTACTTAAACCTTTTAAATATGCATTGTGTACTATATGTATATTGCATGTACTCAATTAAACTTTTTTCCCTACAAAGTAATAGTTGCTTGTTTGTTTTTCTATAAACTGCTTTATTAACATTAGGACCATCTGATCCAAGCATCAAAATATTTGACAGTGGTAAATGTGAGTTATCAAGAGCTAGAACTAATTTTTCGAAAAAAATTATTGCTGTTGCTTTACCAATAAAAAATGTTTTCAAATATTGGGAAACTATTTTTCCTATTTCTTTGGAATAATAACGTATTAATACTCACAGTTCTTTTTTGCCTTTAGAGTTAGTAGTTTCATCATAAATAAGACTATAATAAACACCATTTAAATCTTTAATAAGTTGACTTTTAAAAAAAGACCCCAAAGCATCTGTTATAAGATATATTAATTTCTCTCTACTTAACGAAAACCCTTTAGGTAAAGAATCGAGAAACATTGTTTTAAATACATCAACTATGTCATTACAAGAAGCAAACGAGTAGTTACTAGCTACACATTTAAGTGCCCAAACGATTTCGGCAACCACAGCTCTGTCACTGATATTATACAAATGTAAACTTGAATATAATGTATCTGAATTAGTAGAAGTGGATGAAATTTGTTGCGAACTTACAGAAGTTAATCGTAGTTGTTTCGGATTTTATTTATCTTTACACTGCTGTTTATGTTTTAACGTTGAAGCATGCTGAGTTAAACCCTGGAATCCTTTTAGCGAAATACGTAGCACTGCACACAAAACAAAATACGCCATTGTCAAGCCGCTTAGCCCATTCTTTTACTTTTTAAAACCTTGGCCATCCTCTTTTTCAAACCAAACGCACTTAATTTGCATTTACCCATTTTTTCAACAAAAAAACCATTTAAACATTAAAAATGTAAAACTAAACAATATTATTAATAATAATAATAATAATAATATTAATAATATAACTAATATAGGAACCATACTGTTTTATTTTGATTTTTAGTTAATAATTAACTAAAAATCATAATGAATAATTTTGAATTTCAATTTACGGTTACTGGTTATAGGAATGTTAGGATAAACTGATAAAGTGATAAACAATAAGAAAGAAAGTCCACGGAAATTAACAGTGTGACCACAAAAGAAACATTTAAATTTTAAACTACATATTTTTAAGAATATTGAAATACAATTTTTAAAATCTCATATTTGCTTGTCAATGATTCAATTAAAAAATTTAATTAAATTTCTAGAAAAAGTGATAAAAGTGAGGAATTTCTATAATTAGTGACAAAAAGTGTAAAAAGTGATCTACTTGCAGCCCTGTCTTATGTTAAATAAAATATTTATTATCCCACTATAACTATATGAACCCCAGAAAAATAATGTACGATTGGTACGTGTTCGACAATAATGACGCATTTATATACTCAACTAATCTTTTCGGTTGTTATAACACTGCCAATTGTTTTGAATACTGCTCTCAAACTGTCGTTTTCTGATTTCAGGAAACCCTTGAACGAAATAGCGTCGTTAAGTTTCGTCTGGATTTCCGATATTTTTTCTTCGTCCGGATTCGGGATGACTAACATCTTCCTAGTGTATCTATATACATAAACAACATCGATATCAGTTATTATAATTATTTACAATATATGTAAATTTAAGACCATTGGATCTTTGGCGTAAATAATGGTAACAGATAAATCATGTGATTTTTAAAATTCATTGTTTACTCTGGGTTAGGAAAATTCATGATGGGACACTCTAGCTGATCCATAAAAATTTCGGTCAATTTGTCCAGGACGCCTTTCCGGTCCAAATATTCGCGGAAATCTCTGCGTCTAGTCATTAACCCGACCTGTGAACATCGAATCAGTTCAATATGAAGTTATAAAAAAAATATAGAAAAATCAGAGACTATAGATTTTTCTAAGAATGTCAACACCCATGGAAGATCAAAAAAAGCGCTATTTTCTTTGAAATAACTATGATGAAATGAAATATTTTATATAGTATTACATAAACTAAAAACAAGTTATTTCTTACTTCACTAGTGATTAAATTTCATATTCTTATACCTATACAGTGGATATAAAGGTGGATCAAAATATTCGTATTTCGAGAATTTTTTTTTTTAATTCGAAAGTCAAACAAAATCAAAATCAAATAAAAAGTTCGACATTTTATGATTAATTTGAATTTCAAAATAGTTCGAAATCCAAAAAAAATCCAACGTCTAACTTTCTAATCAAAATATTCCAGGTACTTATTGTTAAATATTAAATAATACATTTTATTATCTATATTATATATACCTTTGACCATATAAACTATTTAATAGACGTAGGTACTGTAAATTTATTGACGCCATCTGTCACTGTGTGACGTCACATTTGGGCAATACCGTCATATTCGTAATTCGTACACTCGTCGTATAGAATATAGCCAACGCTATTGCAATCTTTTGACGCTCATTATTTGAATGATATAATATTATTGACGTATTGTCTATTATAGTAATATTGTATAATATAGCAGTGGGCAGTGGCTATCCTGTTATCCCGATAAATAATTAATACCTAAATTAACTAACTTAGATAGGTACAACTGTCTGTTGCACTTCTCTTATAGGTATAATTGATTGTTTAATATTTAGTTATTACTTAAAATATAATTATTAAACTCTAATCTCTACATACATATGAACATAATATATTTATAATAGCTAATATAATTTCTAGGGTCTCACATTCAATAAAAGTTACGAAATACGTAGTACAATATCATACCATTAAACGACTATAAATATGATTTTATTCTTAAATACTATTTAGTTTTGAATTATGCACAAATAAGCTCTAATTTTTTTTACTATTCTCAGGTATTATCATATCATCCTCCATCCCATCAACTAAATACTAAAAAAAATCGAGAAGCAACTACTTCAAATCAGAATAATTTTGGAAAAATAAACGATACTCTCACCATACAACATCAACACATAATAACAATAATNCGTTTTAATTGGTTGATTGGTGGTAGTTGACTAGCAATATTTATATCAGTCTAAATAGTTTAAAAAAATAATATTTGCATTTTTATCAATATTTTTTTTACATTATTTTAGGTATTTAAAATTCAATACATAGTTTGTATACATACTTTAGCTGTAACTACTCCAATAACAGCATGT